TAATTTGTGTGTGTGTGTTCACATTTGTGTGTATGTGTATGTATACCAGGAAAAATATGGAGATGTCATAGGAAAACTTACACAATTTAGTTTTCTCCTTCCATCAAGTAGGTCTAGGGTTTGAACTCAGGTTGTCAAGTTTGGCAGCAGGAGACTTTACCCACTGAGCCATTGCACTGGCACATGTATGTATTCCTTTCTCCTGATCTTTCATCACTAGGGTGCTATGATGGGCAGAAGAGTGCCCCCCTAGCCAATGTAGACATTCTAATCTCTGAAAATGTTAGATATGATACTATGTCTGCTAAAATTCTAGCTTTTAAGCATAAGTAAGAATTTGGGAAAGAGGAAATTATTCTGGGTTCTCAGCATGGGCTTATGTGATTAGAAGTACTCTACCAAGTAGGAGCCATGATGCCAGATCAAGGGACAAAACAAAGGTAATGTTTGTGTGATGTGATTTTTCTCTGACTTCAGAGAGAACTATAGTCTTAGAGTTAGGAGAGCTTCCAGAAGAAACACAGCCCTGTGCACACATCTCCACATTTGCCAATGAGACTGCTAACCATCAAACATGACCACTTGAATTGGCGAAGTCACTAAGTTTAGGTATTTGAAACAATAGTTTTAGGCAATCAATGTAGGTAAAAATTGCTTTCTATAGCTGAACTCATAATAACATACCGTCTCTTTATTGGTAGGCGTTAGCTTAGTAAGTTATCCCTTCATTAATTTTCTTAATATCCATTGGAACATATTATCTATTTTCTGTCAGTTCTGTAATTAAGAAATGATCATACATTTTATTCAACAAAACTCATGTTCATAAGTGCATTCTGTGAAATAGAATCTATGGGAGGCACATATAATGTGTGACAAATGTGTTACATACGGCATTATTCAATTATAGCAACAAATAAATGCCAAATTTCCCATGGTAGAACTGAAAAATAACAACAGAAATCCAGAAACTATCTCTTACATAAACTCATATATGCATGTATGTAATGGGTAGCTGCTCTGCTTTGACCTGGAAGTACTACCGCCATTGAGGCTTCTGGTAACTGTCATGGCTACCTATGGCCTGCCCCTGAGGTGGGGCTGAGACTGGAGCCCTTAAGACCCGAGATTCCTGGTGATCCTGGATGCTGGTTGTAAACCAAGCAGAGCCCAGATGGACTGCACTTCACCTCTCCCAGATCCTGTAACCTATCCCTTTAATTGTTGTAAGTTACCCCAAAATAAACCTCCCTTTTAACTATGTGGAGTTGGCTTAATAAATCCTCCAATATATGTAAAATAGTATAAAAATATAAATATGCATGATATCCACCCCAATACTTATAGATATCTATATGTGTATCTATGATTTCATCATCTGTCTATTTAGTCTATGTGTTTAAATGCATGTGAAGAGGAGAAAAAAGACATGTGGTTACCTGTAGCTGGTGAATTAGTTACATTTCTTCACATTTTGTAAATTTCGTATAACTTCTCACTAGTAATCAGAAATGCAGTTCTAAAATGGGTGATAATGTCTCAGATATAGCAGAGCTTTGTACAACAAATGCTTTCCTGGATTTACTCACAGATAGAATAGTGGCTTCTTCTACTACAACTCCTGTGTATAGTCCCATTAGGGTTATTTGTGTTTCTATTTATTCCCTCTGTCATATTCTTGATGTTTCAAGGCAAGGCATGCCTGTAATTGTTCTCTTCCTGACCTCACAATGCCTGCCATGAAGCTTGTGGTAAAGAATTTACTAAAAGCTTTCTGGTGAATTCACTTTATAGATGCTTAATCAAGATTTCTTTGATAAAAAGAGTTCATCTCAGATCCACAATACACACAAGGCTCAGAAAAAAAATGAGGCAAATTTATATAACAGGGAGGTAGACATAAAGATAAACACCCTGATTTAGGATGCAAATGAAGTCTGAATTATGCATACCATATTCTTGTTACAGCATTGTTCATTTAAATTTTGTTTACTAGGAGGGATGGATGAATGTTCAGTACTTTGATGAAGTAAACATTAGGATTAGGTCATTCTAAATCATTCCAAATAGTGGAAGAAATAAAAGGAAATATCTCACTGTATGTTAGTAAACCCATAAGAGTATTCTAGATCCAGTAGAATATTCAGAAGTGGGAAAGTCTCTTGAGAAGTCTTTTGAGAGGACACATGATGCAAAATAACAAATAGGCCAGTGTAGCTACATGGAAATTATATAGTTTAATAGATTCAGAATGTTCAGTTGAAACCAATAACACCATCTCCCAGTAAATGGCAGGGAATGTAGAATAAAAGCCTATTGGAAAGAGGAGGACTCAAACCCCCTCATTTAACTATGCAAAACTAGTCTTATCAATAAAGGAGTACTTTAGGCAAATTCTTCTGCTATTAGTGGACCAATGATTTGTTTTTCTCATTTTAATGATCAAACAATATTCTTATAGATGATAACTGTTAATTATAAACAATATAGACGTGGTTCTAACACATATTCCTTTTGAAATTTCATTTCTATGCTGAGGAAAGCTAACATTGGTTCATTTTATAGCATTGGCTCAGTTATTATTTATAATGAAAGTATATGGTATATGCCAATGTTGTCTCTATGTTTTGAGATGAAGAAACTGAGGCATAAGAATTTCACAACACTGAGCAGGTGGGGAGTCACATATCTATAATCCTAGCACTTGAAACACTGAGACTGAAGGGCCAAGAGTTCAAGGCTAACCTGGGCTACATAAAGAAACCATATTAAAAATTAACTGTTATAATATGTGATATGAGGGCCAAGCTTTGTACACATGAAATACGAAACAGGAGCCTCTGACTCTCCATTTTTATAAACCAAAGTATTACAAAAGAATCTTTAATTGATTATATAATTGCCTTATACTCTGTAGCTGTTGAAAGAATCATAATGGCCAGATTCTGCTGACTATAACACACCGCACAGTGGCATTACAGTAATGGCAGAAGACTCTACAGAGAATAGCTGTGAGAACTCTTAGACAGGTATGCCTTGCCTCATGCCTTAGGGACAAAGCCAGCTCTAGATCTGGATTTTTTTTTTTTTAGATGATTTCAAGTTCCTTCCTCTTCAAACGAGAATTCTGAAAGCAGTATAAGAAATATTCAGTGGTGAATAGTATCATATATGGTGGAGAATAGACAAAATGTAAAATCTCAATTACTAAATATTCTAAAAATTTGCTATTTTTGTAATAGAGTCAAGGAAAGGTTTATAAAAGGAGGATTCAACATGACAGATCCTAACAGATTTACAGAAAGATACACCAGAATTTTACTTCCAAATTCAGAAACACTAAGAAACAGTGTTAAGAGCAAGCCATGTGATCTTCAGTAGTTCACTGAAAATACTGAGGTGGCCATGGTATAGGTCATTACCCTACCCTCTACTCCTTTAACAGAAATCCACAGTGACAGAGCATAGAGGCTGTGCCCCTTTCTCTCTCTCTCTCTCTCTCTCTCTCTCTCTCTCTCTCTCTCTCTCTCTCTCTCTCTCTTTCAATCATTTTTTTTCATAATTCCCACAGACCACATGACATGGTTAACTTAATTTGACCTTTATCACAAAGTTTACTGCTGGTAGTCAGGATAACACCGAGACAGAAGAGAAATGCCGCCTTTACAAAGGAATGTGCCCTTCGCTGAAGATAAGGCATTGAGTAAACAGCAGTGAAGATCTCCATAAAAACTGATGTGACTCAAACATGAGAAACAGATGTTTAAATCCGATTCAGGAAGACACAGCGGGGCAGGACAATGATGTGCAGAGGAAGCTGGCAGGGATTTGTCAGTGACTGCTTCCATGACTTCATTCTCAGGAGAATTTCAAAGACCTCTGAGAAAATAGGACACTATCAGTCACTGAATCACAGATCATCAGGGAGCTATCCTTTAAAATTTGGAACTTTTATTCTTTGGGGGTTACCTGAGACTTTTTGGTTTATGATTGATTTTTGTTTTGTTTTTATTTCTGACAAACTTGAATTTTCAAAGCATATTTCATCTCTCTCTCTCTCTCTCTCTCTCTCTCTCTCTCTCTCTCTCTCTCTCGTGTGTGTGTGTGTGTGTGTGTGTGTGTGTGTGTGTGTTCCTATGTGTGTATTCCTGTGTGTAGGGGGAGGGACACATGTACGAAGGTGCACATGCTGAAGCCAGAGATCAGACTTTCATTTCAGTCCCCATGTTCAACTTTCTTTGAGACAGAATCTCTTTTCACTACCACTGCAAATGCCAGACTAACTGGTCCATAACTTTCTCTAACTTCTGTCTCACAACTGGAGCACTGGGATAAGAGACATGCAAGTTATTGCATCTGTCTTTACATGGATTCTAGGGCTTTGAATTCAGGTGCTCAAGGCAGATGCTTTTCCCATTCAGTCTTCTTCCTTGCCCCCAACGTATAGTTTAATAAAAAGAATTATATATCAAGTCCCCCTTAAAAAGAACCACACTACACAGCATCACCTTAAGGCAAATAGGACATCTCTTTCTTGGGAGAGGCCTGATTTGATTGGAACAGGAAGAACTGAACTTCATGGGTACCAGAAGTGAAAGTAAATGTTTGACACCCCCCCCATTAGGTATCATTGATTGGGGTGACATTGTTATGTCTAATTTATACTGTATAAGACAGAGGTTTCTAAAGGCTGCCTTATCAAGCAGTGTGCCGGTGACTCTTTAATCCCAACGTGGAGGACAGTTTTTTACATGAAAAGTCCTGCTGTGGAGGAGACAAGCTTTGTCAACTTCATTAACATCTGTCTACCTGCTCCACTCTACCCAGAAATGTTTATCTCAATTTTTTTTTCAGTGAAGAGAATCACTTGCTGAATCCTGAAAACAGAGTTCACAAGTAAAGCTCATTGAAATTGTATTTATGGAAATGAAATTGGAAAGAGAAGATAACTCTAAAGAGAAACAAGAAAACAGTCCAAACAGACAACTGAGATGCCACCATGGATTAGAATGCAGCATTTTTATTGGAAAAGTCCATATGTTAGGCAATTTTCTTGTGAAAAGGTTTGCAAATACATAGACAGGGAGCAGCTGATGATTAAGAATTGGATGATGTATAATATATATCCATATTGCCAATATTATGCACATATTGGAAAGTTAGCTTTATTTTTTTCTCAGTATCTCTACTGCAGAATACATTTCAAGTTGACAATAATATCGTGATTCCTCACAATTGGAATTTGCCAACAACTCTCCCAAAGAGTCAACATTGACTATTTTGACAATTTAAAACAAGAAAATAACCATCTATTTACATCTGTTTGAGGTTAAATACTAAAGCACTGGTATATTCAAGGTTTGCAAAACCAGCAGCTGCATATTTTCAAGATTCATCCAGATTAATTATAATGACTTCATGTGGTTTTATATTAACAAAGACACCCTCTTTAATTGTCTTCATCATAAATCATAAAGTTACACTTACTATGATTTAACTTTGATTTAAATCAGTGTTTTTCCTTAAAAGAAGAACTGACTGTATGGTTCTATTTTTTTTTAAAAAAAAAATGAGGATTCAGGATGATCACATTAATATCTAACTCATGTATGAAGTCAGGCAATCACTCCATTTAATTGTTATGGAGCAAAATGAGCCTACAGTCAGAGGCTCAATATCCTCCATATAAGTCACTCGGTGTTGTTTCAGTTTTTAATTTAACCTTCAGTCCATTGTTTCCAAGCACAGAACACTACATACTGTTTACCAGTCAGGTATGAATTTTGCTCATACTTTCATAGGTGCACAAGCAGAAATTTTTTTAAAGATTAAATTGATTCTTTTAAAAAAAACTGGATAAATAATCAAGAAATTATTATGCTCAAGTCATCAATTGCATACATAGGTATAGAAAGTAGATATTATTTTAAAACAAATACAGACTTTGCCTAAAACAAATTCTTGAAGATGGGCTTAAGAGCTGCAGTTCTTGAGATTCTCTGGTTATTTCTACAGATAAAGCATCACTTGCTGAAAGCAATGTGAAAAGATGAGTCGCTTGTTCTGGGTCAGAAAATGATATTCACCAGACTACAGGAGGGTGTGTTGCTTTCAGCCATATTTAATGAGCACTGACTATGTGCCAGCCACAATGTAAGATGTTGAGAACCCAAAGAAGAAATGATCAGGACTCTGCCCACAAGGCATTAGTCATCACTAGAAGCAGATATTGAGATGGAGAAAGAGTTCTATTAAGGACTCACATCCTCAAAGAAGGCAAAACAACAGCAAGCACATACATTTACTTTATATGCTAGTGATGAAATTGGGCATATTTAGAGCTGCCAAATGTCAATCAGCCTAAATTTTACTCAAAGTTTTAATGTCGTATAAGACTAATATAATTTTACAACCTGAATTTTCATGCATGAGGGAGAAGACAGTGAACCCCCTCCAATTTCAAGCCCAAATCCTTGTAATTATATTAATATATTCTTTTATAGCCCAAACACACAAAATAAAAGACAATACTATATGATGATCATTTAGCTCATTTATTTTGGCTCTAAAGAGATGCATGCATTAAACTTGAAGCATTCTACATTACTGAAATATTTACATCATTGTACATAGGATATGCAGGAAATTTTCTTCTTACCTTGGAATAAAGGTATTAATAGAATTCTACTCTAGGCTTTTCTATTGTGATTCTTCACAAATGAGGGAGGTATTCTAATTTGTTCCAGTTTACCACAACTTGACCCCAAGTGAACAGAGCACACGGCTTTGCCTCCTTTGTACTAAACCATATGGGAATCCAAGACCGATTCCACCAATTTGAACACTCACCACTTTCATTGTTTTCATTGCTGTTGCTCCAAGAGATCATACTTGGTGCAACAGTCCTTGTTCTAACTTTACTTTGCCTTGCAGGTTTGAAAAACAGTGCACACCAAAGTTCAAATTACAAGAACCAAAGGAGAGTTGGGCACAGATAAGATGACATTATACATATTACTAGGTTGAGACAGAGAAACAAATTCAATGACCACATAGGGGATTATTTCATTAGACTTAGAAAGGACATTGTCTTTCCATGAGATTCAGAGAATAAGACCCCTATCAATGAAACCCATACCTCCTCACAGATAAAGATAGGAGACCCAGTAAACCAGATTGAACAAACAGAAGGCGGTGGGGAAGAAGATCCGAGCATAGGAGTCCATTTTGGCAATGCGAATATGTATCCTCCCATGTCTCCAGGCTCCTGTTCGGCAATCTTCAAAACAGCAGAAGAAACTGGCACAGTCCTTGCCATCCAGACACTCATAGCCATATTCTTCATCCCTCTCTTGAAGATGTGTGGCATTGTTCATTTGGATGGTTGCTGATCTGGGACGGATATCAATGGTTGGGGCCTGAGACAAGGTAGGTAAGGAGAGAGATTCAAGTTAGTTAACACTGGAGGTATACTGTACAGTTTCTCCACAATGTCACCAATGAGATGATGAATCTGAAAATGAGTACTCAGGAAATTGCTATGACATCGTGATCTACGATGGTAAAATTGAACTCAGAAAGATAGCACGGTTGCAGGTTTCAGATTTTGAGCTTAAGCGGTGCAGCTGGAAATGATATCATCAAGCTAATAGCTACAGCAAGAATATTGAATACCAAAAGAACTCAAAGTATAAGTATTTAAATCAAACTACATGGAATCTCATTCTATTAACTATTAGATGTGAAGCTGGTTACATGAAGCTGGTTAATGGTACTGCAAGTGAGTAAAATAGAGAAATAAAAGTGCATTGATTTTCAAATCAAATTGCATGTCATGCTAACTTAGAGGCAGATAGGAACCCATCATATTGAATAAATATACTAAATGATTTTAATACCAAATGCTACTATGCATGGAGAAATACAGAAGTTCATTGATTTTATACCACAAAGATTTAATCTATGTATCAAGACAATGTAGTTTGTCTAACACTCACCAACTTCAAGCTTAAAACTGCCATCAGTGTTTACATACATCAAATGAGATTGAGAATTCAAAAAGAATGTCATTACTTGTCAAGTTTTTTAGCAAGATGAACTGCAATTAAGGAGTAGTAATCTAATGTTTAATGCTTGACCAATAATACAATTAAAGCAAAACTCAAGGCTTATTTTTAGCTTTGGGGTGTATAACTATAAACTACAGTTTCTAAATTAGTTATTGGAGAGAATAAAAATCTCATTTTGTATTTCACAGAGACAATAGGCCTAGTGATCACACTGGCAGGGAAAGAAGGAGATTTTTAACTTCAAGTCTGGTAAAAACACTTGTTATTATAAAATTCTCAAGTAGATAGAGATTAAGTTCATAAAACATGTTTCAACACCTTATTTTAATTAGTGTTTACTGAGTTAAATTTTAGCTTTAGAAGTATATATACATATATATATATACTTTTAAAATATATATATATAAAGTATATATGTAAATTATAGATAGTGAAATGTATATCAATTACATCTGAGGAAACACAGCCCATTTGTGCTTTGGCATTATAGAAGCCTTGTTAACTGTGATTACTATTGGCCTTGTTTTGAGCTGAAACCTGTGTAAATAGTGTCTAGTTGATGAATCAATTCTAGAGGTCTATAGAATTTTCTCCACCTTGTGTGTGTCACCATTTAGTAGACTACTTAAATGTTTACTCATAAAAAAATAAAGCACCATGGAAAGCATTAATAGTTAATTCAGCAGTTGCATGCAGTGAAATTTCCATTCCAAAACATTATACCTTGAAGGAAAACATCCGAAGAAGCTTTGGATTTGTAGACAGAAAAGAGAATTGCATTTTTTTAATAAAAAGAAGGAAAAGGAAAAAGAGAAAGAGAAACAAAATAAGACAAATTAAAAATACATTTTGAAAACACAGTAAGTAAAATGAACTGAAAGCATAAACATAGAAGGTGGGCTCTGAGATTGGCATAATTTGCATATCTAAAGTTAGAAAATGACGTTTTGTGATTGGTGATCAAATCCTTAACAAATCAACCCACAAGTACATGACCGCAAAGGCCAATGCTGATCAGTTGCAAGGATACATCCTAGTGAATACTTTGCCTGTAGAAAAATAACATGAATTATGTAATTGTCATTATAGAGGAGCTCGTACGTGAGGTCTGACAAGGAGGAATGAAGGGCACATTAAATAAAGAAATAAATTTTCAGCTTCTTAGACCTTCACCATCTCGACTGCTAGTAGTTTTGATAAATAGACAAATTGGCTCCAAAGGAGAAAATGCATAAGATTGTCCAGGAATTACGTTTTCTAGCTTTCTCCAGTCTCTTTTCCTGTCTGCCTTCAGTTTTCCTTCTTCTATTCCATAAACCTGGGTTGAGGAATCCAACTATTTCTGTCTCTGTAGCAATTTCCACAATGAAGTGATAAGGAAAGTCAGAGGACTTTTGTAAAGGACTTCCAACTTTGCCTAAAAGCCTGCCTCCCATTCTTATTACAGATGAGTATCAGTACAGTCATCTTCTTTGAGGGAAAATGGATTAGGAAATGAAGGAGAGGGCTTAAGTAGAGAAACAAAATTTAAAGCAAGAAAATTCAAACAAGAATAGGAAAAAGTGGAGAGGTAGAAACATAAGAACCGACAGGGAAATGAAGGACCACACACAGTACAATAAATATTTGAGACAATAAAAGAAATCAAATTTCCTGTTTTCATTAACCAGTAACAATGATGCTATCTTATTTACCTTCCACAAAATCTTACTTTCAAACAAACATGTGTCATTTATAAAATATCTTCAGTATTTCTGGAGGTGCATCAGGATATGAGTCAGATCCAGCTAGAGTTCTCTAGTCACCCCACAGTTCACAGCTAGATAGGTAGCCACTGTGATGTTGCTCATACCTCTCAGAGCAGAAAATCAGGGCAAGGTGTCAATCCAGGAGGGTAGGGCCATTAACTTGGTCATCCTCCCAATAGAAAATGAACTTCCCATTTCAGGCAGGGCTTCTGTAACCCAGACACTATGCTCAAGTGGGTAAGTGGGAATCTACATGCTGTCCTCAATACTCATGAAAAAAGGTAATGGCTTTACTTATTTATATTTATGACTCATTCTCTCCTTTCATGGTTTAGCACAAGCAGAAGTTGTCTTACCTGTTTCCAAATCAAGCAGTCACCAAAAATAAAAATTCATGTTGTCAACTGTACAAACAATCAGTATCAACTTTCATTACCATTCATCCCGATTTAGAACCCTCATGTGACTTTTTTGTAATTTTTTATATTTTGTTGGTTTGTTGATCTTCACTATAGCATTTATTTTCACACCAAACTTATTTGACATTTTTTAATATATCTATCTTATTTTATATCAGAAATCAAAGTCAGGAAGGCTAAGTAACTTGCCCATGGACTATTAAGCCATTAGTTTTTTAAAAAAGATACACATATGTATAAAATGAGTAGAAGTCTTCTAGTTGAAAAATGCATATGTGTGTATAGACATACACATGCACATACATACCCCTACTCATGTGCATATACACCCTAAGTTATTAACAAATTGGTATGACTGGTAAACTAATACAAGAACCTAATGCTTGGAATACCTTTGGTGTGCATTTTAATTAAAAACATAGTAATTTAAAAATGTTATAGTAAGCTGGGCAGAAAGATGAAAGTCAGTGATGTGTAGGATAATAATTCAAACATGAATGTATCCCTGAACATTGCTTTAACCTCCCATATTGAAGACAATGTACAACTGTATTTGCATAAAGAGTCTGACTTAGATATCTTGGACCTGTGACCTAACTAATGACCATAAATAAACCTGTATCTTCTGGACAAAAGCTCACTTACTCTCTTTTCATCATGGAATACAAAGTGCTGAGCCTCACTGTGCAGGTAAGTTAACCAATCCAAACCCACACCAAACCCAATGATCCTTCCTCATAAAGAGTTCATTTGTCCTGACAGGAAATGATACATACAGGGTTTTTCTTCTTTTTGTCTTTGTCCTTGCTTGGTTTCCGATTGCTGACAAAATAGTGCAGGGTGCCATACTCCACCAAAGCAGAGAACACAAAGATGAAGCAAACAGATACGAAGAGATCCATTGCTGTGACATAGGAGACCTTGGGCAGAGATTTCCGGGCTATGGTGCTGAGAGTAGTCATGGTCAGGACAGTAGTGATACCTACAGAGGAGTACAACAAAAGAAATGACATGATGTCATCAGCAAGGTGAGTGTCTGAAGCATCATACTGGTAATATCCCTTCTATTCAACAGCCACTGGAAGGGAGGAATATCTGGAAAATTGGTGTTAATTCACTCTGTCCAAAATACTCTGACTTTCATGTATCAATTATGTTGACTGGCACTGAGTACATAATGGTAAATATAATAGATGTAGTTTTTGGTGCTATGTGTTTTAATGAGAGGAAACAGTATGAATGAAGTTCGGAAAGAAAATCCTGATATCAGTTTCTGGTATATACCATGGAAACGGCAGGGATGGAGAAAACCTCCTTAGATGGAGTTCACATAGGAGAAACTTAGAGGCATCCACACTTAAACTGAGGCTTCAAAGGTAAAGTGAAATCAGCTTTTTGGCTATTAATAAAGTAATGAGCAAGGCTGGAGCAAAAGCATTTATGTCTATTTACAAAATTTTAGAGTACCTGCCATCTGTGAGGAAGCAAGGAAATCAAGGGGATATTGGTGAAATAGAAGCTGTATTAATCACACAGTAAACATGTAGTATAGGACATAGTTTTTCTTAAACAAAGAGAAATCATGCAAAATCACTGAACAGGAGAAATGGTGAATTTAATTAAGGTTTGCACAAAGAAAATAACTACCTCAGAATTTATCAAAACACACAGAGCACAAAGGAATGATATTCTGTCCAGGCTAGTATAGGGTACAGATGAAATAAAAATATGGATAGCCTGACATCAACGGATTTACTCTGTACTACATTTTTAATTTCCATATATATATTTGGAAATACAGGAAAATATATAGAATGAAAGCTCAGAATGCTGGGAGCTATTGAGTCATCCTGATTTGGGAACTGGTGCAGTTCTGGGAGTCTCGACCACTGGTTTTTAGAGGGGGAGTCTTCTTAGAATTCCTATTGGCTTTGATAGTGTTAGGGTTAGAGTTCAGCATGGAAAATTGTGGTGACTCTTAAGTCTTTGTGAACATTAAATAATGTACTAATGTATGTAGATGGCACTCACTGGAAGATTTGGGCTGTCATTCAAGAGTTCATGTGTTAGCAGCCTTGAGCTTGACATTTTTGGGGCATGGTGCAACATTTGACAGGGGAGGAAGCTAGAACATTGGAGGTGCACATATGAAGAGATATTAAGATGCCAGCCCTATTCCCCATCCCCAATTCCTATCTATATGACATAAGAAGCTTCTTCCTTTATGAACTTCAACTGTGATGTTCCATGGTAAGAAGAAGAAGGCCAAGTGACCACATTCTGAAACCTTTGAAACTTTGAACCACAAAAAAATCCCTCTTCCACTCATATTATTTTATTTTATATGCTTGTGACACCAATGGAAAACTGACTAACACAGAGAACTGATATCGAATAAAGTCTCAAGCATGGTTAGATATTTGTGTTGTTTATTTTGGAGATGATCTACTTCCTAAGCTAAAAGAAACTAATTAGGTTGGGTACACATTAATTCAAATTGAACTTCTTGATTGTACCTAATTGCATCTTATATTTTTGTAGAGAATGTAAAATACTGAATTGGAAACTGGGCCCTCATTTTCACAATCAGGCCTGAAGCTATACTTGAACTTTGAAAATGTGAAAACATGACTACTTTTGGTAGATACCACAGATGAGTTCATTCTAGAAGACCTGGCATGTGACAATTGAATCAAAACAAATTCTGACACATTACTTAAATACTGCTCTTGCAAAAGTGAAAGACGTTATTCAGGACACAAGGGAGTTCATCATAGCTATGAAATGTGTATCTTAAGGAACTGCCTATCACATTTCCAGGGTGCTTCCTGGGATCACAGAAAAGAGAAAAAACTATGACGTTAAGAAATAAGGAAGTCTTGGTTTGTGCTGATTCATTACAAGGTAACCTGATGTCCTCTTGACACCCAGTTTTACTAACAGAAGAGATTAAAGTTCTCTTGCCTTGGCAGAAGAAATGAGACACACAGATTTTGCTAATTCCTCCAGTCCTGGCATGAAGTGAACTTCTCAGAGATGCCTTTTCACCTCAGAATACTTGAGTGAAAAATACCAACATGTGTTTTCATCTTGCTGTGCACCCCCTCTCACTATAGCATGATTAAATTTCACCTGCTACCAGCTGTGTACCAAACCACATTCATGTGTTACAAGATCCAGAAATATGTCCTCAGAAAGCAGCCAATATCTCTCAGTATCTCCAAGTGTTGTCAGTGACTCGGCCATCATAAAAGTCGGCTGTATCTGTTCCATGACAAGAAATTCAAAATCTGTAGGTGCTCAAGGTAATCTCATTTACATTTTGACTATAAATGTCTGAAAAGATCATGGAACTCCACAAATGAACAGGCATGTTCTGAAAAGTGACTGAACACTTGATTCACTTGAGATTAAAAAGCAAAGGCCCAAATGCAGACTATACTTGAGGTAAATTAAGTATGCACATCATGGGGTGGTGTTGTGGAATATTCCTTTACACTGCTTGAAGAAGTGTCACTGTGATTGGTTTAATAAAAAAAAAGCTAAATGGTCATTAGCTCAGCAGGAGGTATAGCAGGGACTTCTGGACAGAGAGAACTCTGGGAAGAAGAAAGGCAGGTTGCCAGACAGACACACATAGAGAGAAAGCGAGATATGCAGGAGGAGTCGTGTGGCAACATGTAGATGAATAGAAATGGATTAATTTAAATTATAAGAGTTTGTGGGACAAGCCTAAGCTACATGCCAGGTTTTCATAATGAATAATAAGTCTCCCTGTCATTTTTTTTTTGTGAGCTGGAAGCCCAAAGAAAAATCCATCTACAGGGTGGGAATAAGGTTCCTGTACTTCCAAAATATTTTTAGTGATAGAAAGGTTTGGTTACATTTAAGAAGCACTGATCTAGAGAACTTAGAACAAAGTTAAAATAAATATATGCTCAGCTTGGCTTCTCTCCTTGGATGACAAGTAGAATTCAACAAGTCTTTCCAACTAGGACAAACCCATGTCCAATTTTCCAAGGTGCAGCCTTGTTAACAACTGACTGTGTGGCGTTGTGGATATTACTTAACTTTCAGCACATTTGCATGCTTATCTCAGCTCTTAAAATATGATAATTTGTATTATCACAACTTCTTTCTGTGATGGTTGCAAAACATAGTAACAACACCAGAAACACAGAGCGCCACTGGCTCATAAATGATCAGTGGATAAGCTGCTTCTGGTCTTATCAAGGGCCTTTACTCAAGCCCACTTTGTCTCTTTCTTTTCAAATGGTTTGCTGCTAGAGAACCCTTGTTACTGAGTGGTTGAAATGAATTGATCATGTGGTCATAAAAGTCATATTGGTCAAAAGAATCCAGCCTTCAAAGGGAAAGACTGATTGAAATGTTTTCTTTAAAATAATTTTGGTAAGAGGGCATATTAGAATATATCAGAGCATTTGTTACATCTAATCATAAACATATAAATTAACTGAATAGTTACTGAGGCAGTAGTAGCTTGTTGGAAGCTCTCTGCCAGAGATGAGCAACATATCTACGGTTTCTCCTGAGAGATGATGATGTACTAACAAGTAACACCCTGCAGTGTTAGGCTTAACAGATTTGGAGTTTGCTTCAGTATGTGGCATCAGACAGGATGTTTGAATTGTTGAATAGGATTTGTAACACAAAGTACTGCATATATCAGAAAAAAATCAAAAGAACTTCATTTTGAAACAGATGGAAAACTAAATTGGGTTTGGAAGAGGACAGATATGCAAATGTTGTCTTTTTCTCGGTAATCGCTTCTGCCCTCAGTTTAATAACCTGGTACAGATCATTTTACCAGAAATGAGGAGAGTCACTATCATTTTTAAGGCTTTTCTCTGCTCAATGTGCTTTGCACAGAATATGTTGCTTTAGCCCAATAAAACCCTCCAAGTTAGAAAGCAGGAATGATGCCTGTTTTGCCTGTGATGAAACAAAGGATCAGAGAGAATGAAGTTTACTGCACAGCCCTATTGTATGTGTGGCTGGAAATAAAGATCACCGAACTTCAAAAATTTCTGCTACTGCTTCCCCAGTAGGGGTTAACAAAGGCATGTAGTATCAGGTTGCACATAGCTAATGAATGAGTTTTGCATAGAATGATCATTCATTCTGTGGAGAGAGACTTTAATGTTCCTGTGAGTCAGTAAGCTTTGGTTTGATTTGTGGAAGTCTTCTTTCATCTATAAGCAAAAGATGAAAATCAAAGACAGGCATCACCATATGTAAAATTTTGACTAAATTGCAAATTATCATACAATAACCATGCTCCCTAGATTTGTCAATAAGTGTTTCCCACTTTTTAATCATTTAGATGGCTCTTCTGGAAAGAATCAATTTAGTTAAATATCATCACCATAATTATTCATCTTGGAATTAACCAGGAGTGGCGTGATGGGAAAAGGGTAACAGTTGATTCTGGAAAACAACAGTGCCCTGTTTACTGTGCTTCTCTTTCCCAAGATACTGAAACGTCAACTTCCACCTTAGCACATTTCAAATTCTGCTGTGACATCACTAAGCAAATTATTGAGAAAGGATAAATGTGGTCAGCTCTCATGAATACATGTGGAGAGGCTAAGAGGCAGGGAAGCGGATAAAATTCTCTTGAAATTAAGTTTTTGTTTGTTTTTTATATTTAGTTACATTTATTATTTAATTGTACTAAAGAAATCCTGTGACAATTAAAGAAGACAGAAGTATAAAATTAGTAAACTGTAAATATAATAAATAGATAAATAACCATATTGAGTTTCTTTAAAATAAAAAAAATAGATTTTCATTTAGCTTTTGAATTCTGAGTGAACCCACTGAAAAGGAGAAATAAGGGGTAGATTTTCTCAGGCACTGATCTTGAGAGAACAGAGCACCTAGAAGCACATCTCACCTAAAGATGTTCTAGCAGGAACAGCATCCTTATTGATCCAAAAGGACACCCAGGATAGGACCACGATGAGTGTACAGGGGATGTAGGTCTGGATGGTAAAATACCCCATTCTTCTGCTCAGATCAAAGTACACAGACATGACCACATAGTCACCTGGAACAGAAAGACAGAGCTATGGGAAAGCTCATCAAACACATAGTCAACTCTCTTGCTTACATAATTCATTTCAGAATTGACTTGGGGCTACTTTGAAAGCTCTTTTCTAGCCACTTGGACAAAACACAACAACAAAATTATAAAACAAAACCCAGCCAGAACTGGAATGTAGGCCTCCTAGCAGAAATGATACTATCAGTGAGAAAGTAGGGTTTTTCAGTCGTAACAGTATTTCTTCTTTCAGATGACTCTGGATCTTGCCTTCCATATGTAGCAACAATGTATAAGTTCTTCTTTGATGTGAATGGGGGTGGGGAATATCCTTTATGCACAAAGCCTTCCTTGATTGCCGTGTATTGTGCACTCTGTAACAATTTTCCCTTATTACTTCTGTATATACAGACCACTGGGGAATATCTAGGTGATTGACACGCAAAGCGTTTTATTTTGCTCAAAATGATAGTTCCTTTTCCACAATGAGATATTTCCTCATGCTTTCACTGAATCGTATGGTGGTTTCACAACAATTGCTTTCATCCACGATTTTCCTTTCATTTGGGTGCTGGTGGTAGAGGTGCTGTCGTTAAGTTTTACCTGTGTGAATCCCTGACCCTCGCCTCTTCCCTCCACTTTCTCACCGTCAGTTGTTAGCATACCGCCTGAGTGGAAATGGGCAGTTACTAATATCTGATGGATACATTCATAAACTAAAATCAGCACTTTAGAAGTATATTATGAGACAATTGGGTTTTAAACATTAGTGTGGGTGTAACATGACATTTAGACTAAGAAGGGGTAATATTAGGAGATGAAGAAGAAGAAATATAGGCAGAATGTCACATGAAGCTTGAAAAAGCATACACCACTATTGTTTTTTTCTGGTTTCTACTGTTATAGAACCTTTTTTTCATTTTTTGTGGTAAGTAAGTACATACAAATGCAATTGATAGTGAAAATGTAAAACCGGAAGTAAAGCCCCATTTATTCTGAATGGCCATTCTAATGGAACAGTTCAATGAGACACATAAATTTTGAGAATGCATAAGTATGTATTTGAGTGGTTGGTTACCTTACTCTAAGTGTATGGTACACATATTTGTGAGTTACTTGCAATAAACTGATTTTATCTTTTTAAATGAATTTATTGTTTTTAATGTATTCTGGAACTTGACTATAATCCCAGCATGAGACAGAACAATTGCCTAGTTTAAAGCCTGCCTAGCAGCCTGGGCTACATAATGATTTCCCAGCCAGCTTGTGCTGTATAGTGATACCATATCTCAAAAAAAGATGAAAAAAAAAAATAAAGCAGAAAAACTAACCCCCTCCCAAGAATTTATATGAAAAATGCAAGTAATATATTAAGTCTCTAAGAAATCAAAGAATAGCCTTATAGCTATTCATGGGAATAATGTACATAAGGTTGGTTATCTAAAGTCATTGAATTTGAGAAGTGATTATGCATAAATTGTTTGTAAAACCCCTGTCACCAGCTTGTTCCATGCCTATAAAACAAGCCATTATACTTTTCAAAATTACAAATTGTACCATGGTTCATCTCTCACCTATGACACATTTATACCTCCCACAGTAGAGACTTTTAAAGACTACATCTTTAGTCAAATGTGAGATTAATATATAGGGCCTATTTTCAAATATCTGTTTTCACTTTACTGTATTATATTTTGTTCTAACACGTGTACACAGTTAAATTGTGATCATATGTGGCAGCCGGGTAGTTTGGCTTTGTGTCTGTTTTTCTTTATTCAAGGCTTATTCAAGCTGATGTGAAAATAAGAAACTAATGTAGAAAGCCTCATACAAAGACAAATTCAACAAGGTGTAAGAACTAGTGGGGATGCGGGGTGGCTTGGAAAAGAGGGCTGGGGGGGTGAGAGGAGGGAGGAGGGGGGTCTGTGGATAGCATGAGGAGTGAGTAGAAAATTTCTTAAAAAAAAAAAAAAACTCAGTTTGACTCTTCAGCAGTCTCAGGCCTTAACTCCTATCCTTACAAACTGCTGGAATATATAGTCTTTCCTTGGTTGCTCTTGAAGAGACTAAAGACACACCTACCCTCCATCCTCTGGCAAATCTCATCATCAAAATTTTAGATAACTCTCAGCACTGTGTGTTGGTACCTTCATAAATTCTCCCTTGTCTCCTTTAATCCTGGCTGAAGAACAGCTCAGCTGGCTTTCAGTGGGAACACCAGTACCGTCTCAGTTAGTAGTCAGTACTAATTATCTAGGAATTATGCACAAAGCTCCAGAGGTAGAAAACTTTTCAATTCTGATAACTAGCTTTTACATAATTTCCTGACACTATAGTTCTCTGTGTTGATTTATCTGAATATAAAGCTATTTGAAATAACATCTCATAAATTAATTCATTCTCTGTTTTTGTCCTGACTTTTAGTATAATAGACACAGGTCTTTCTTTTTCTTTCTCATTTTTATAATCATAACAAAACAAATGTAAGCTCCTTTATTTCATATGGAAAGCTGAAAGAGAAATTATATAAAAATAATATTTGAAGATAGCTTTTCTCCCATGAGTTTTCACTAAATTTAAACATATTTTAATTAAAATTTATAAATTGTAAGATTTTAGATAAATCTGCACAAAAGTTTGGTAGCTTTTTTTCATATTGTATAAGCAAAAGAGAGCTCATGCTTTTCCATTAATGGTCTGACTCCTCATAAGTGAACTTGAATTTTGTTCAGCATTGGCAAGATTGGTATCTTGATTTGATTCTCCATTTCCCTTTAGGCCAAGGTCTAACCTCTCATGGTCTGCTTATCTACTAGCCTCTATTATAAGGTGATAGCTTCTGAATGCCTTTATTCCTTGCCTGCAAATGCTAAAGCTTTTCCACCAGTGAATTATGGATTCAACCTCCAGACCAAGGCATTTGAAAGCAAAGCAGCATCACACAGACAGCTCCCTGCCTGTCTTATCACCAAGACCACATCACTTTTTATATGCTTAAAAACTCTTATGCTGAGGAGCCAGAAAAATCTAATCCTCTTAAAGAGCTGCACCAGTGACTCCCCAAGTCCCCAGATGCTAAGCAAGTCAAAGATGGGGATTCAGACACTTTAAATCAAACTGTTCCCTTAATAAGTCCCAACACATGATGTCTGAAGTCATAACATTTGGTAAGTTAGTCCCAACCCTGCTTATACTCATCATGAAAAGACACAGACTATAATTAAAGGAATGAAACATATAATTTGAATTAATAAACAAAGGCATTAATCATTTTTCTTATTTCTTAGAAATAAGGACTGATTTAAGGAGGCAAATCCTCAAGGTCAGTAAAAAATGATGTTCTTTTTACTGTTTACCTGTGATAATAAACAGTTAGATAAAAGCATTAGAATTCCATATTTAGTAGATGTTTTGCCTATCCTTTTATAGATGGAACTATGATATGTCTGCTCTGAAAATCTTAGTGATTTCAGGGGAGACTTTACCTCTTTGGAAGCTCTGACGTGATAAGAGAAGTTACTTTCAAATTGCTGGTAGTGAGGTTTTGTTTCACACAAGCACTGCTTTGAATGATTAGAATGTGTTTAACGAAAATATTCTAAACACTTTGCATGATGGTGAAAAAAATAAAAACAAAACAAAGAATTTCAAATAGACCTTCTCCTTCTCTCATAGTATTTAATATATTTACATATAATGGAACTGATCATATTCTTCTAGGTTCACAGTACAGGCAAGTGATACTTTACTCTGCTATCCTTGCCAACAACTATTTTCCATTGCTCTTCCTCAAAGAACCCTCAGTTAGCTATCCAGAAAATAAAGACATGTGTGATCTCACACCTGGTCCTACGTTAAACAGATTAGATTGAAGGAAAATCATTACCTGTCTAGAAGCCAGTGAAAGGTGTGATGAGACTCATTCAACCTGTGTTACTCCATGGTAAGAGAGCTGACTGATGAATTTGTGTTAGATAAAATTGCTTTTTGAAATTAAATCTGTTGTTGACCCCTAACCACAAACCCCATACACACTACTTGCATAAATGAGTGAACCTAGATGAAACGGAATAAATAGACTACCTTCATAATACACAGACAAAATAGATAGACTACCTTTGTAACCTAATCTAGAAAAGACTGAGAATGCAGCATGAAATATAGAGGACATAAAGAAATAGAAACAACTGTACTCTTTAAAACTTAGAATTTCTGATTACAATGAATTCTATAATTTTTGTGAAATGCAAAATGCTACCCTTGTTTTGTTTTTTTTTTCGTTTTTCTTTTTTTTTTCTTTTTTTTTTTTTTTCGTTTTTCGAGACAGGGTTTCTCTGCGTAGCTTTGCGCCTTTCCTGGGACTCACTTGGTAGCCCAGGCCGGCCTCGAACTCACAGAGATCCACCTGGCTCTGCCTCCCGAGTGCTGGGATTAAAGGCGTGCGGCACCACCGCCCAGCTAAAATGCTACCCTTGAATAGACTATTTTCTAAATAAATAATATATCAAGAGTAACATCTTTAATATATATAGAACCCCCAATAGTCATTGAGGAAAGAAACTTTTCTTAGATCTCTATTTTTCTCAAATATATAACTTGAATGTAAGCTATGTATTTATCTTTAATAATCCCTTTTGTAGTCTCCGAACCCTGCTAAATAAAGTTAAATATTTTTATTTCATTCTTTTGTAACTTCTCTACCTTTTTATCATCTCCCTTCTAGATACCTAAGTAATCCCCTCTTATACCTTTACTCATTTCAACATTCTGATCATGTGCAAACCACCTCTCTTTCTTTCTTTCTTTCTTTCTTTCTTTCTTTCTTTCTTTCTTTCTTTCTTTCTTTCTTTCTTTCTCTCTCTCTCTCTCTCTCTCTCTCTCTCTCTCTCTCTCTCTCTCTCTTTCTATCATACACACACACACACACACACACATACTCCATAGCAGGTTTAGACCTGGGCTTTCTAGAATGGTGGCCATAATAATTATAACTTAAAATTGAGTTA